AAACCAGCAATATTTTCAAACAATGCACAGTTAAAGAGGATTGTTTATTTAAGTTTGCAGTCTGTCTTTGGCTCTGATCCAACAACACACGTAAGCACATGCTTAACTAAGCACATGAGTAGTCCCACAGAAGTCACTTGAGAATGCACACATACTTAAAGTTAAGCACATGCTTAAGTACATTTTCTGGGTCTGGGCCATAATATGTATTGTCAATAATCCTACAGCATGTGTTATCATTCTGATTTAAAGTCTGACTTTCTTTTCCCAAAGTACCTCTTCATGCCCATTTATCCCATAACTTTGATGTGTGGTTTTTATGAGAAAATTCTACTATAAAAAACAAATCTACTAAAATGTATCATGCAATAACCATTCTCCTCAAAAGCATAGTCAGGCAAGAAGAGACTATATTAAAAAGATATTCACAGCTGCATTCAAAATTATGAACTACTGTGTGTTTGCTTCAAAATTCTGTATGACGGTAGAAAAAATATAGAGAGCACAAGTATGGGACTGAAATCTTGAATATATTTTTAATTTATATTACCTCAGATGTGAATATATGATACCAGTATTTAATGAACTATAGCACTGAATATAAATAAACATTATTCTGAATATCTGTAATGTGTAGAGTTTATAGCTAAATGACACATCTCTATCACAAAATGAGAAAAAATTAAACTAGATACAGTTGGATAGGGGATGTAAATTAGCCATCCCTGCTGTTTTAGTAAACCTCTTAAGTATGATTTTGATGTGGGGGTTCCCATTCCATTTTTGCACATTTTACTTTTCTGACAATGGCTGAGAAGCTGATTTGCAATTTTTAAATAATAAAAGTCCAGCTGCATATTTAGGACATGATTCTGAACCCCTTATCTAGGTAAAACTTGATGCAAGAGGAAGTTTTACCTGCAGGGTTGGGGACTTAATTGGGGACTACTTCAAAGCTGGTTCTTCACTCTACTACTGAGTAGCTGTGTTCTGTTCATGTTCAGGTGAAATCAATGACACATCAGGACTTTTCTGGTAAGTAAAAGTGCATTGGTTTGCTATATTCATCAGCACTGCAGGCACATTCTGCTGAATGTATGCAATACATTGGGTAGGAGACAATTTAAAGGGAATATTTTTCAGCCCAACTAAAATCTTTATGGTTTCACTGGGTCTTGCATGCAAGTGAAGAATTTGAGTAATTATAGAAAATGGTCTCAAAAGATCAGGAATTTGTTAATGAACACAGAATCAAAGAATGCATCATGGGCCAAATTTGCAATCCGTTTAAGGAGATCATTGCAGTTACTTGAGTTACAACTTCCTAGCCAGCAAAATGAATATCTTCCCATATGTTCACAGGTTAGATGACTGTATTAAGAAAATATTCATAATTCTGTAATGTGTTGGCTTAATTCACTTTGCATTCAATACCTCATACTGAATGCAATGTCAAACCTCTCAGCCTCATATCAAAAGATATCTGGGGTGTGTGTATTTTATCAGTATCAGGCATAGTATACTATTTCTAAATAAAAATTAAGGGCCTTGCCCAACATTTCTGAAAAACCCAGCAAGTTCATTAGGGATTTTCAGTTGGCAATAAATTCAGGTTGGGCCTTTAATATATGTAATTCCTGCCTCCCTTGTTATTTGTGAATGGCCATGATCAGTCCATATTGATAAATGTTCCAATTTTCAGAGAAATTGATAGGTGTTGCCTTTTTCATTAACTTAGTTTTTTTATTCTGTTGTCTTGTTGCCAAAGGAAATGTGAAAGTAAGTGCCATTCGTGTTCTTGATTAAGAGAAGGTGTTAACTTTCCTACATCACTTGCATGTTGTTTCTGCCATGCAGCTTTCAGAAAAGAAGCTGGATTACTGTGCTTACCTGGAAAGATGGGTGACTATTGTTAATAGCGTTTTTTGTGTGTGCTTGCTGGCTTCTTAACTCTCACACTTAAAATATGACAATCTAACTTGTTTGGAGGACAAGTGTGCATAATCTAGTTTGACCATGATCATTTAAAAAAAATAAACCCACCTTTGAACTCCCCATACTGCAACACTAGAATATTGCTAATTCCCTATATTATTCAGCCATCGTATATCTGTTCACGCTGCATTCTTGCACACCCACAGCACTCAGTGACATCATTGGGTCTGAAAACATTTTACTTACTTGCACCATGGGGGAAGTAAGCTGCACAAGCCCTCTTCCTGGTTTGGAAGCTGCTGAATGTATAGGGTAGCTCACAATTGAGCCTAGGAGAGTGGGACCCTTTAAAACACCTTTTTAGGGGTTAGGTTGTGATCCAGGCTGTGTGCTACTCCTCTCATTGTCTTCTGAGTCTCATTGTCTTCAAGTAGCAGGTAGGATTCACTTGTTACTTACAGCTGACAAGTGCAAGAACAGGCAGGCAGCAGGTGGGACCAGTAGTAAATTACTACCTCCCTGGAGTGAAAGGACAACACTGATGCGGTGTCCCATAAGAGGGCTTGCTGTTGCACCACAGTCTTGAACTACGTGATATGAAACATGAAAAATATCCTGATTTTAAAATTTCTATTTACGTATGAATCACGTTAGCCTCTGTATCTGCACACTGACTGGTGCTGTGTCTTCAGTTTGCCACACCAGTCTACCAGCATTCCTTAAGGCCCTGATCCTGCCTCATTCCAGTCGAGTTTGCTAGTTATTGTACTGGGAGCAAGATCGGACCTGGGCCTAATGGTATGTCTACACTTCAGTAAAACACCAGTAGCTGGCCTGGGTCACCTGACCCAGGCTTGCTGGGCTATAAAATAGCAGTGTAGATGTCCAGGTCCCAGAGTGTAGGCTGCAGCTGAAATAACTGCAGTTTGACAGCCCTGCAGCCTGAGCCCTGCTGATCAGGTTAGCTGCAGGTGTTTTATTGAGCACATAGAAACCCGTTTCCTCTCCCCCACCCCCCCATTTGCATAGAATGGAAAAGAAAATTTGGAACAGAAAAGACAGCTGTAGCAGAAGCATCTCTTTTGCTATTTTTAGTTCCTGTCCATCTCCTGTTCCCAGCTGGAGGCCAGCACTGTGCATCTGGCAGCCAATTACAGAGACGCTGCCATATTTTGTTTTTTTAGGGGGTACACTAACATTTTGAATACTGCTGCTGCCATCATTTGGCTCTGCTGATTTTTTTTTCACAGTGTAAGTGCATCTCCTGCATTCAGTGTTATAACGGAGACTATAAAGATCTGTTTATTTCACACTAGGAGACATTGGACCCAATCGTACAATTTGCTGTCCATCTTCTTTATTTTTTTGGACTTTCAAACCTCATGGTGGCCATTCAACTCCTTGTAGAATCAGATCCATTGCTTATTAGCTTTTCAAATTGTGCAGTGAGGGAGAGTCCTGGAAATTATCTTGGGACCTAAGGACAAAATTCATCCCTACACTGGCAGTGTTCTTGGTGCAGAGATCCTTGTCTTTACACCACCTTTGTGCCTTCCCCATATAAAGACTGCCATGCTCAGGTTATCACTTGATGCAGGTTAGAGCAACCTGAAGGGTGCCTTAACTGGTGCCCAGGTAATAACAATCTTTTGGGTCCTTTCTGGCATCCACAAATAGCTTAGGGATGGCCACCACTCCTGTATCCAGGGCTCATGCAGAGTAGTGTAAGGATCCTGAATCTATTAAGGACTTCCTCTGCACTGATGATATTTCCTCTGTAACCATATGAGATTTACAGAGCCTTGACACCAGCATAAAACACCCATAAATACCCCTTAATTGAATGCTTAATCTTTAAGGAGCTGATCCTGTACCATTGAAATCTATGGAAAACGTGCCATTGATTTCAGTAGCAGCTAGATTGGGCCCTAATTGCACTTTGGTCAACATTTCATGTAGGAAAAATAAGATTTGTCCTCTGGAATAGAAACAAATTGAGAAGGGATCATTAATAACATTGAGCTCTTACTTGAGCTAGCACATTTCACCCTCAGAGCTCAATAAACTATTTAGGCATATAACCACTATTACCCTTATTGTACAGATGGAGAAACTGAGGCACAATGAAGTGAAGCAACTTGTCCAAGGTCAAATAGCCAGTAAAAGAGTTACAAATAGACTATGGGGGCTCTTCTGACCATCCTAACTCAGTACGCTATCCACTGCACTGCCCTGTAAGAAGGTGTGTACACTGAGGGTATGTCTAGACTACCTGCCTCTGTTGTCAGAGGCATGTAAATTAGACTACCCAACATAGTGAGTGAAGCCGGGATTTAAATATCCCCGGCTTCATTAAAATAAAAATGGCCACCATGCTGTGCAGGCTCAGCTGATTGTCGGCACAGCGCACCGAGTCAAGATGCGGATCGGTCGACAAGGGAAGCCTTTGTTGACCGCTCCCTTATGCCTCGTGAAATGAGGTTTACAGGAGCGGTCGACAAAGTCTTCCCTTGTCAACTGATCCATGTCTTGACTTGGTGTGCTGTGCCGACGATCAGCTGAGCTGGCACAGCGCGGCGGCCATTTTTATTTTAATGAAGCTGGGGATATTTAAATCTCTGCTTCATTGACTATGTCGGGTAGTCTAATTTACATGCCTCTGGCAGCAGAGGCATGTAGTCTAGACATACTCTGAGAGATGATCTAGGTGTGGGGGGTGCTCCGTCTGGGCTGGAGTGCCCCTGCCCGTGGTACACCCAGGCCAGGCACACTTCAGATAGGGGCTGCTCTAGCCGGGCTGGAGTACCTCCTCCTGCCCACAGTGGGCCCCCAGGGGCTGGAGCAGGCCCCTGCCCATGGTGGGCAGGGCTGCTCCAGCCCTGGCCATTTAACCGCAACCTGTAAGCATCACCCAATCAGGGTGATGCTTACTGATTAACCGGTTAACCATTCACAGCCCTAGTAGGAGTGATATTTGTAAAAAATTGGTGACTGACTGAATTTACTGAAAGACACAAGGGTTTTGGCATTCAAAACATACAAATAAAATGCACTATGCAAAATACTTCAGGAATGTTAAAAGGGACATTTATTTTTGTGACCAGACATCCATTTTCCAAATTTTTTTCAACTGGCATCTCCAGAAGGACATTCCAGTCTGCCTGTAAGCAGAGTTTAATTAAATGAAAGTCATTTTATTTATATTATTTACAGGCCATTTAGCAGCAAATGTACAGTGATTGCTGCTCTCTGGCTTCAGACGCATTTCCAAGCCATTTTGTAACAGTGTGCAAATAGAAAAAATGATAAATGAGTCTGCTGCTCTACTAAAAATCCCGGCTAGGATCCTAGGAGATGCTGCTCCTCTATTGTTGTCAGTGGTGACTGAGCATGCTCAGCACCTTGCAGCAAGTGTTCAGCACCTCGGCAGATTTAGAACCCTGCTGACTTATTAATTCACATACGGAATTAGTATGGCCAAAGCCGTGGCACAGCTTAATCTGAAAGAAGGACTCAGTGGAGATGGAACGCCTGCTGGCTTTCAAGGAGAGGAAGTTTTATGTAATGGCTTTGCTGGCTAGTGAAAGCAGTATGGTTAAATCTAAGGGCCGATGGAACTCTGTGTTCTATCCAGCACTAGCATGGACAGGGTAAAGGGGATGATTTGGGCTGGAAGGGGCTGCCCTACCCACCTGCCAATTGCGCCAAGGCTGGAGGAGGAATTAAAAGGTGCAGCCCTGGGAAGGGAACAGATTACTGTAGTTCTCCAACCTGACAGCTCTGCCTTCACAGAAGGAGGGTGCAGAACCCCTGAGTGGAAGGGAAAAGGAACCGAAGTTGGCATTAGAGCCCAGTGAGTGCTGAAGCAGATAATGGGCTGTCTAGGTCCCCTATGAAGCAAAACATGCCTATATGCGGGAAGAAGCAGCCTACAGGGCTTTTTTCTGCCTTTCTTTTTTTTAACTCCTTTTGTTGATTTTGGGTGGTTTGGGGGTCCTTGCTGGGGATGTGAATGACACTGTCCAGAGACCAGGGATGGCAGGTGAGCACAGGCAGTAACTGGACTCGTGCATGCATTCCCCACATAGCTTAACAGGAGTGGCCTACACGGGGGGCCAACAGCTGCTGCCAGGCCAGATGTGGGGCCTTCCTCTGCACCCCTAGATTTAAATGGCAATAAATGAGAACAGGCAGAGCAAAGTAGATTATAAATCAAAAGTAACAAAAAATGCTTAGCTAATTCTGACACTGAAATCCTTAGCACAAACTTCATATAAACTCACCTTAAAACTGCTTCTGTTCCAGCTACAGTTTTAAACTGGGGTCATTTCCCTTCCCCTGAGGTCTCAGGTTCACCCTCCTTGGGTGTGTTCAGCCAGCCAAAGACCAAAACGCCTCCTTTCCTATTGTTTTTAAAGATTCCCTTATTTCATTGGCGGTCACCTGGCCCGTCACTACTAACCACTGCTAAGACCTAAGACAAAAGACTTATGATTGCCCAGAAACTGAGGTCTCCCTTGATGACTTTCATTCACACATTTAAAACCCACAGGCTACGTCTACACTGCAGGCTTCTTGTGCAAGAACTGTTTTGCGCAAGAGTTCTTGCGCAAAAGGTCTTGTGCAAGACTGCGTCCACACTGCCATGTGCTTTTGCGCAAGAGATGTGCTTTTGTGCAAGAGCATCCATGGCAGTGTGGATGCTCTCTTGAGCAAGAAAGCTCTGATGGCCATCTTTGCCAGAGGAGTCTCTTGCACAAGAAACCCCTGTTGCCTGTCTATACTGCCTTCGCCTTCTTGCGCAAGAGCTATTGTGCAAGAGGACTTATTGCTCATGGGTAGAGGAATAACTCTTGTGCAAGAAGCCCTCTGTTCCACTGCTTTACTGTAAATTTACTTGTGCAAGAATGCACATGCAGTGTAGACGCTCCGCAAGTTTTTACGCAAGGAACAACTGTTCTTGCACAAAAAGCCTGCGTGTAGACGTAGCCACAAAGTATTTCCCTACTCCATGTGTCTAATTTTACACACAAGAGTGATACATGCACCAAAACAAGATAAGCAGATCCAGTGGATTAAGACATGAAGATCTGTAGGTTACATGAAGTAATTTGCTTAAAGCACCTTTGAGTTATGTACATTTATGTCCAGAAGTCCATTTCATAAAGCATGGGGGAGGAAGACCCATCATCACACCTACTCCCTGTTATCACTGTATTGTCCCCAGTAAAAGACTGGTTGTATAAACGGCCTGCTTCATGTCTCCCCTCAGTTAAGGTATACAGTCTAAATGCCAACAGTTATAACTTACCATACAGTCCTTCCCATGCCAGCCCTATTTTATTCTTAAGGTAAAAGCACTACAAAGAAAACATGTTTTTAAAAAATGAAAATCTATACACATGCTAGTAAGTTTACCAGAGATCACCTCCAACCATCTCCAACATGGGATTTGACAGCTGAGTCCTTGAAAACCTGCCCCCTCTCCTCCTTTGTATGGTCACAAATTCATAACAATCTTAGCTCAGAACTAGAACTCTCATGAAGTTTAATTCTTCCCTAATACAATGTAGAGATCTTTGAACTGGAGTTCTCAGAAGCAGTAGTCAGTTGACATCTGTCTCCAGAGCATAGCTTCAAAAGGATGTATTTGAAGTGGATCATTTGCATTCCTGTCATCCTCAAGTGTTTCCTAGGAAATCCATGTTACTCCTCTTGTCCCAAAAGTCCTTTGAAATACCTAATATCTCACAGAGATTGCATTAATCCCTCTTCCTCCTAATACAATCCCACACTAAAACAGAGGTATTTGCATTGTTGGTACAATGGGTCCCAAAGGTATTAAATGTCATTCAATAAGGATTAATTTAATTCCATAAAGTTTGCCAAAGACATTGCAGGATACTGTCATTCTATCACACAGGGCACATGCAAGACCTTGAGAGGAGAATACATGCTAAAGACCAGGCCAATATATTCAGGGAAACTACAATGCAATTCACAAGTCAAGATAATAGACAACTCATCTTCCCAGCTGTTGTGATGTCTAGTAAGAACAGAGCTTGTACATGTACTTTTACTGCATAAGCCACTCTGTAGGCTGAGTTTATGCAATCCAGAGGAATTACCACAGCCCTAAATCTGGATTAACAACCTTGTGCACCATCCAGCAAGGGATTACCCAGTAATGGATGAAATGAGAAACAGACACCACAGAGCATGGATGCTGTAAAATTTGCTCCTGAGAGGAGAAGTTCTCCAGTCAAGTTTGATGTAGCTGTTTAGGAAGCTGTTGAGTGTTTCCCAATCCAAGGTACTAGAGCAGCAATTGGCAACATGAGTGGGCAACATGAGTGGCCCTCCTTCATTTCAATGGGCCACAAGATTGTCATAATTGAGACAGTCTCCCAGGACAGGGTAGTTTGGTCACTGCACTTGCATATCTAGAATTTGTGGAGTGAGCCAATGGAACCATAGCAGCACTTTGGATGCAGAGGGAGCATATGGTTCTCACCATCAGTGTTGTGTGCAATCAGCACGTGCCTTACTTTACCTCCCCATCCTTTATGTGTGTGTCACTCTAAAAATGCTGGTAGGGAGAAAAACTACATAGATGGAAACTAGTGGAATCTGGCAACCCTGTGCATGGGCAATGGTAAACAAAATGTCTCGCAAGCCACACACAGAACCCCAATGGGCCACCTGCAACCCATGCCCTGCACGTTTCCCACCAATATGTGAAGGGCTTCCCTTTTCCAACCCATCCATTAATAGCAAGTTTTGATGGGATGTTGGTGTAGAAATATTGGGGCTGTATGTATTTTGCCTCCTCTCAGAGAGAATGTTTGGGGCTCTGACCTTTAACCTGTTGTCTGGCTGACTAGAGAACAGTAATACATAGCACCCTGTGCGGATACACATTGTGTATCTGCATCTGCAGCCACAAAACTGAGCCACGGATATCTGTGTCAACATCCACAGATGTGGATACTAATGGATATAAAGTGGCTCTCCAGAAATTTGCAGAGTTCTAGATACAAAATTTGTATCCACATTGGCATCCATATCCACAATGCAGGTACCTGTGGCTATAAAGCAGATATCTGCATCTGCAGGCCTCTAATAATAAATATGCATTTCTGTAGTACACATATGATGAAACAGCCTCCAGTGTAACCTAGAATACTCTATAGGAGCATGGACTGGAACATACTTGAGTTCATGATTAAATTTCAAAGCATATGAATAATCCTATTGACTTTGATGAGAGGATCTGCATTCTTAAAGTTCAGCATGTTAACACATTGGTGGAGAGGCTTCAGGGATAGCAAGGAGAGGGTGACGGTGTGAATTGCATGAGCTGGGAAACATCCGAGGAAATGACGCAAACTAACAGAACTGCAAATCAATGAAGCGGCTAGTGCCCATGGGCGGCTGGTAATGTAGGGAAGGGAAGGCACAGCCTTCCCAAAAATGCCTACCTGCCTGACTGCCTAAGACTGGGGCCGCCAGCGGGGAAGGGTTTTTAACTGCAGTCTAGGCATTTCCAGAGAGGCCGTTGAAAGAAGCTTAAAACAGCATGAGGACAACCTCATAGCAGGTAGAGAGAATATTGTAACGAGTGGGAAGCTGCCGTTGTGGTGGATTCTGTATCAATGACAATGTTTAAATCAAGACTGAACTTTTTTTTCTTGGAGCTGTGAGTATATGGAAAAAGTGGGAATCCCTGCACCCCAACCCTCTGCCCCAGGCCTGATTCCACTCCCACATTCAGAGCCCCTTGGCCCCACGCCTGCCATATATATGTTGTTATGAGCAGTAATATGAAGGCGAAGGAAACATTAGAAGGCACACAGCTTAGAGTTCACTCAGCTCAGCAGCTATTCACTGCACCTTGGAAGCCTCTGGATTATCTCTTGCTGCAAAGTCCTCACAGCAAAGTCAACTGCATTGCACCAGTCCCCACAGGAGGGGGTCCAACATCACTTGGTACCGTTTAGCAGAGTCTCTTAACTGAGTGGAAACGAGCACTTTCCACTCCCTGAATCTCTCTGGGGCTCACTTCCACCTCTCCCTCCTCTCCAAAAAATTCAAGTTCGCTTATAATTATAGTGATGGTACAAGTGTCACTAGCAGAGCTGTTAGCAGATAGCCTAAAGAAAGGCTGTCCATGGCAGGTCTTTTCTCTTTTCACCAATGGGAGGGGGACAGAGACCTCTTAACACTGGAGCATCTGGCCACAGACAGTACATTATATTTATAATTAAAATCCTATTGTGTTTGAGTGATGCTGACTTTCTGAGCAAAAATAAATCTTTCATTTTTTCAGTCCTCCATAACTGCTTTTTTATCCTAAGCATTGCAATCAGATTTAAAGAAAAACTCATGAAATATTGACTATTTTTGCAACTATCAGCATCCCGTGAGACATTTTGAGACACACAAAGTACTGCTTGCATATAAAAAGATGAGAAGCAAGAGACTTTCATCATAGGCATTAAGGGCCTAACTAATGGAGTAATCTAGGTGGTAAACTTATTGGCTACGTCTACACTGGCCCCTTTTCCGGAAGGGGCATGTAAATTTCAGCAGTCGTCGTAGGGAAATCCGCGGGGGATTTAAATATCCCCCGCGGCATTTAAATAAAAATGTCCGCCGCTTTTTTCCGGCTTTTAAAAAAGCCGGAAAAGAGCGTCTAGACTGGCCCCGATCCTCCGGAAAAAGTGCCCTTTTCCGGAGGCTCTTATTCCCCATTCAGCATTTGAGACACTGTGGCTACGTCTACACTGGCCCTTTTTCCGGAAGGGGCATGTAAATTTCACTAGTCGTCGTAGGGAAATCCGCGGGGGATTTAAATATCCCCCGCGGCATTTAAATAAAAATGTCCGCCGCTTTTTTCCGGCTTTTAAAAAAGCCGGAAAAGAGCGTCTAGACTGGCCCCGATCCTCCGGAAAAAGTGCCCTTTTCCGGAGGGTCTTATTCCTACTTATTCAAAGCCGGAAAAAAGCGGCGGACATTTTTATTTAAATGCCGCGGGGGATATTTAAATCCCCCGCGGATTTCCCTACGACGACTGCTGAAATTTACATGCCCCTTCCGGAAAAGGGGCCAGTGTAGACGTAGCCATTAAGTCTGCAGATGATACCAAGCTGGGAGGAGTTGCAAGTGGGAGGATAGGGTCATAATTCAAAATGATCTGGACAAATTGGAGAAATGGTCTGAGGTAAACAGGATGAAATTCAATAAGTACAAATGCAAAGTACTCCACTTAGGAAGGAACAATCAGTTTCACACATATTAAATGGGAAGTGATGGTCTAGGAAGGAATACTGCAGAAAGGGATATAGGGGTCATAGTGGACCACAAGCTAATTATGAGTCAGTGTGCGATAAAGGTAACATCATTCTGGGATGTATTGTGAGCAAGACACAAGAAGTCATTCTTCTGCTCTACTCTGCACTGATTAGGCCTCAACTGGTGTGCTGTGTCCAGTTCTGGGCACCACATTCCAGGAAAGCTGTGGAGAAAGTCCAGAGAAGAAAAACAAAAATAATTAAACGTCTAGAGAACATGAGCTATGAGGGAAGACTGAAAGAATTGGGCTTGTTTAGTCAAAAAGAGAAGACTGAGGGCATGTCTACACTGGGAAATTATTTCAAAATAACTAAATTTGAAATAATAATTCCCAAGATAACAGATTCGAAATAGCGTGTCCACACTGATCAAAGCCTGCCTTGGACTTAGAGCCCCTGGAAGCACTCTGGGGAGGGCACCAGGAGGGCAGACACTTTCTATGGCTGCTTGGTCAGGCAAGGTGTGACGTGTGCTTTCAGGGGCTCCTCTCTACGGCCACATCTCACGAGCCACTTCTCCACTGCCTCACCCCTTGTGGGACACAAAAGGGATGCAGTCTGCTCTGGTTGCCCTGGCAGACACCACAGCACTCACACCATGGAGCCAGAGCTGCTGCAAAGCGGTTCCAGGCTCACGGACCTCATGCTGCACCTCATGGCACAGTACTTCCAAACTGCCCACGTGCTGCTCCTGCAGGGTAAGGACCAGCGCAGACCACAGGCCCTGATCACCCAGCTCCTGGCACTCCTGCTGCTGTGCATGCCCCTCTACCTCCTGGGCTTCATAAAATGCTGCTTCTGGTGGCAGGAGACCAATGTGGATTGGTGGGACTGTATTGTCCTGCAGCTGTGGGATGACCAGCAGTGGCTGCAGAACTTCTGCATGCAGAAGGCCACCTTCCTCGAGCTCCGCAAGTTTCTTTGCCCTCAAGCGACAGGACACTCAACTCAGATCCACCATCCCTGTGCAGAAGCGCATCGCTATCACCCTGTGTAAGTTCACCATGCTGGACAGCTACTGCTCCGTCGGGAACCAGTTTGGCATGAGGAAATCCACAGTCGAGGGTCTGCTCATACAAGTAGCAAAGGCCATCAACCATGTTCTGCTACAGAGGTTCGTCACTTTGGGGAATGTAGACACCATTGTGGAT